CAGTTTTTTATGTTTAATAATATTGAGAGAATTCCCCAGATTAGAGTAAAACATAGGCAAAATGCAAAAAAATATGAGTACCATATTTTGAATAAGAGTAATTTTAGTGTTTGGACAAGTATACCCCTACCCAAGCCCCAACAACTTTCATTAATAATTAAAACATAAAAGAAATAACATTAATTAATTTACAATAAATTTGTAAAAAAAATAAAAAAAAACACAAAAATATATATATTAAATAAAATATACTCCGTATTGAATAAAATGGATAAAAATAAAAACTTACTAAAATAAAAAAAAAAATTAAATAAAAAACTAAAAAAAAAATAAAATAAAAAATAAAAAAAAATATGTAGGCGTCGTCAACAACTTCCCAGCACCACCAGCTTCGACCACAAAAAATGTCAACACTTGTCCAAAATGCCATCATGATGGAAGTTTTCGAGAAAAATTGGCATTTTCAAAGAGTAAAACTGCCACCTTTATGACATTTTCAAAGAAAAATGGCTATTTTTACACAAAATGACATTTTTTTCGTCGATCTGATGTGGCATTGCTGGTGATGGCTGAGGCTGCGGGAAACGCCTACATATTTATTTTTAATGTGGTTTATCTATTTTTTATTTATTTTTAAAGTTTTTTATTTTTTGATTTTTTTTTTAATTTTTATTATTTTAATATTTTTTAAAAATATTTTAGATTTTTTATATATTTTAATATAATCAAATATGTCATATTTTAGAATTAATTAGGTTACAGGCCGGGTATTAATGTCAGAAAATTAATGTTTACTCTTATTGAAGGGAGTTTTAAGTTTTACTCCTATTTGTGCAATTATGTTTATATTTACTCCTATATTGGGCAATTTCTAAATAATATTTAATTTGTACTCCAATTTTTATAATTAAGCAATTGGTCCAATTTTTATTTGTACTCTGGGAAATTTAATTTAGGTGACAACTCCGGTATCCATTTAAAAAAAGAGGTATCATACCTATCATTCACTTGATTGGTTCAAATCATTGTATCATTTTTAATTTAGATTTAAATAATTCAACTGCATCATTCTGATTGATCCATGTGGATATGTGGATAAAAGTATGGTACTGTACCATAGAATCTACCTGATGGAGTTATATTATGGTTAGCCTAATACGTAGTAGGTACTCTCCCTCGTTTAACTTACTCGGCGGATATGTTCAATGTACATATTGTACAACTATTATACGAAGTATAAGAATATACTCCGTAAATACTCATACCGTCATATCATAGTACTAGTATATTGAACTTGCCCTTAATCGTCATATGTCTCTCATGAACTGAATGATTTGTTTAGATGACAAAAACTTGACAAATATGCCATTGGACCATGCCTTGTCACATTCTCTATTATCTCTCTTGTCCAATAGTGCAGGCATTTGGTGATACATCATTGGCCGCCAGCAATTTGCACCAACAACAGATCCTGTTGGATCCACATGAATTTTAATAAAATACTCCCTCCGTAACTTAAAAATCTTCCCACTTTCCTTTTTCGTCCGTAACAAAAAAATCTTCTCATTTCTAAATCTTCCCATCATACCCTCAATAATTTCTAAAATAATACACTATTACAACTACTTTTTTGGATTTATCCTACATTCCACCACATTATTCCACAATTTTCCCATCATACCCTCAATAATTCATATCATCTTTCACTATTCTTAATCTACCTATTTTTGAAATGGGAAGATTTCAAAGTTACGGAGGGAGTACCAAATATGTTGAAATTGTGGAACCTAGATAATGTGCTTAAATTGTTGAGAAAAAAGGGCAAATAAGCCCTTGTTTAGGAGACTCTATTCGGCCATCGCCATTTGGGGTGGTTCCTGAATTTTTTGATGATTTTTTTTTTTAGAATCTTATTCATTAAGTCTAGTTTACCCATACCAAATTTTAGCTAACAATTATATCGGGAAGACATTCAAATGAATTCTTGAAGATAACTGTGCTTTTGACTGCACAGTTATCTTCAAGAAGTCATTTGAATGCCTTCCCGATTGAAGTTTTAGCTGAAATTTGGTATGAGTAAACTAGACTTAATGAATAAGATTCTCAAAAAAAATCATCAAAAAATTCCACCGGGAACCGCCCCAAATGGCGACGGCTGGACAGAGTCACCTAAATAAGGGTTTATTTGACCTTTTTTGGTTAGTACGTGGGCTTATTTACCCCTTTTCCCTAAATTGTGTAATACTTCCATCGTCGGAAATAATTTCACACATTTACTTTTCTAATCAACACATTTTTTTGTATGCTTTGATTCCACACCCTTTATAATCAGTATATTTTATATAAATATTAACCATCAATAAAGTCTCCAACTATATTCATAAAAAAACTCTGCAACTATATACGAAGTAATATATTAGCAATATAGTAATAATATATACTATTTCATTCGGCCAGATGAAAACGGTGTTTAACGTGAGAACACTCACATTTATATCAGTGTGGTGCACAATGAAGCTCTTTTGTTACACATATTTTAATTTGCTCGGTCATCAATACGACGTGTTCTTAATAGAACCAATCTTATTCTCTGAACAAACGGAATTTCGCACTTCTGTTGGAGCCTCCATATCTCGTGTTCGAGCTTGTGTAGTTCAATCATTTATAGCACCACCCTGTCAAGGCGGAACTTGCGAGTTCGAGCCCCATCATTCCCAACGGATTCAATCAATATATCAATTCATCTCTCCATTTGGAGGTGCCCCTCCAGGATCCAGGTGAGGGCTTGTGCCACTCAGAATCTTTGCCTTCACCGGATATAGCATATCAATGAGTGAGAAGAATACAATCATTTGGTCGGATGGACTAAGGAATGCTTTTGATGGCAATGCAATCCAATACTAGTCTCATGGCAATATTTCTTTAGCACCCCGACTAAGGAATTGACAATGAATCCCTTTCGGACGACGATCTTGTTCCACTTGACCCATAAATTTGATTTTCCGGTGGTCTTTTTCGGCCGAACTCCATTCGGCCATGATCCCGATAACTAACCCACCTCGAACTGATTATGAGAAACTCATTTACGCCTTTGAATGAGAGTTTTGGGTCTCAAGGTTAAACATGACTCCTAGAGAGTGACCAAAATTAAGCTATTATTAATTAACACGATGACATTTTGGTAAATAATATAACAACCTGAAATGCTTTTATTTAAATGAAACTTAAAGGAATTTTCTTAGTACGTGAGCATTATGATATAACTGTTGATATGTATAATGATTATAAGGCAAATCTATGGTACCCAAGCTTGCTGCTCGCACCCAGAGAGATGGCTTGACGCTCGATGTACGGCTCGTTGTTCGCACCCAGAAGGCAAGACACCTGTCTCGACAAAACTCACGCGATCACCGCAGTTCAGGTTGGAGTTCTTCACGGTCAGATTGGAACTTGTTTAAATAATCTCATTGCTCAATGGTAGAGACTACAATACTCAATGAAGATGCTTTGATGCTCAATGCAAAGTTCCGATGCTCAGTGAGGATGCATGATCACATAATCTCAATGCACAATAGTAGAGAACACGATATTCAATGAAGTTGTTTTGATGTTCAATGCAAATTCTGTTGTTCAATGAAGATGTTTGATCACATAGTCTCAATGTTCAAAAGTAGAGAACACAATACTCAGTGAAGATGTTTTGATGCTCGATAAGTTTTGAAAGGCTTGATGCTCAATACAAATATTTCAATGTTCAACCAGTAGAGTTTATGATTTTCATATCAATGCATATTTCAAAATATAATATTAAATTAGATTCGCGTAAAGAAGTTCATAGGAGTTTATTTATAGATACTCCTTCCGTCCCATTGGACTTTGCCAACTTTGTTTGTCCCAAAAAACTCTTCCACTTTTTTTCAAAGCAATGTATTTGTGGCTCTTTTAATTTCTCTCTTCTTCGCATAAATTTCAATCACACAATTTTTACTATCCTAATTTCACATCCAAATCAACTTGGCAAAGTTGAGTGGGACGAGGGTAGTATAATTTAAAATAATTTTATAAAAGAAAAACAGGAAAAATAAAGTGAATCAGGAGACACAAAACATAGATTACGACACTGATTATTAGACTCTTAATACTTCACAGAATAGACATAATGCACAATACAAGTGCATTGATGCTCAACTAACAAAAACTATGTTTTTCAACTAAATTACAACAATGCCACTGGTTGTACAACTTGCACTGCACAACCGGTGCTACGGTATACGAACTTAGGATAATGATAATAGGTCTATTAGCAACAATAACAATACAACAACAACAATATTAGCGGCACAAATACTCATTTGGCATCCCCTATGTTTGTGGTTCACAAAAGCATTTCATTAAAATGGAGCAATTAATTTATTGGGTTGAGTTTTTGTGAATCACTCAATGAGTGAGGTACAAATGAGAGTACCCAAAATAAGGTACCTCTAGCATTTCTCTATTAGCCGAAATAATAAAAACAATTCTTACTTCGTATCATATAAGACGATAAAAAAATATACTACTAATAACTATCATAACATCAATAAATGTATTATAATACATTCATATAACGACGAGTTTTTTGTAATTATTTATGTTTGATTTATGTTTGATATGATTTTCAAATACATGTATTAGAATTCGAAGAAGTTTGATCTGAGTTTAAAATATAGTGTGCGGGTAAAACAAATTTAATTTCAATTTTTAATTTTATGTATCAAGTTTTTATTGCATATAAATAAATTCAATTTTTAACATTCGACAGAAGGATTTTATTCATATGATTACAATTTACAAATTTAAATATTTTTAAGAGTATGAAGGGAGGGGACTAAATACTACGGAGTACGTACATTGTAACTAAAAAAAAATACTACGTACATTGTAACAAAATGAGCTGGACGGGAGACAGAGAACATTTTGCCCATAGGTACTATAATTCATTTAAATTCATAAAGACCACAGTATAAGTCATACACTCGCACGCACTCTTAGACCCACATGGTAAAACATGTTAGTGGGTGTTTCTATGATTGATATATTGATCTGTTTTGCCTTTTGGGTCTCTCAAGAATTCAACCAAGTGGCCGTCACCTTGTTTCATACTCGTAGCCTATTTCAAGCAGGTCGGGGGACAAAGATTCATCATTTCAGCTGCTGGGGTTTTCCCAGATAAACACAAAGTTTGCATCTTTCTGGCTGAGCTCTTATGTTCCAGAGCAGTGGCTGTTCTTGTGCACTCTTTATCCTATACTGAAAGAAAGCTTCAATCTTGGTGTACTGTTTCAAGGTACAGTTCTCCTTAGGTTATGAAATTCCGTTTCATATTATGGAACTAAGTAGATAATTATGAACCTTAATCTTCTGGCAGTTCTGGGTTTGGGGTGTAGTTAGGTATTTTCTGAGGAATTGAACTGATATAATAAGTGTGGTTATAGTTCGCCCTTGGCTTTGATTCAGTCAAACCTTTTAACTTATGGTGGTGAGAATCCTCTGGTATTCATTTTTTCTTGAAATTAAAATAAAATTTATGGATCATCACAATAAAAATAATAATACTAATAATAGTAATGGAAAACAGGCTAGTTTCTGCGTAGTGATGGAGAAACAGGCCAGTTTCAAAAATGGAGTAATGTTAATGGAAAAGCAGAGAAGTTTCAAAGGGCTGATGGAAAAGCAGAAAAGTTTCAGGATAGCAGCAGCTATGGAGAAGCAGAAAAGCTTCAAAAGGGGAAAGGATTCCCCCGGGAAGCGAGGTGATAACCCTCTTCACCTCGCGGCACGAGGGGGGAATCTGAATAAGGTGAGAGATATTATGCAGAAGTTTGAGGGTAAGTCCTTGAAGGATTTTCTGTCAAAACAGAACCAAGAAGGGGAGACGGCTCTTTATGTTGCCGCTGAGAATGGCCATACCTCAGTTGTTGGAGAGTTACTGAAGCACTTAGACCTTGAAACCGCATCTGTTGTCTCCAACAATGGATATGATGCTTTCCATGTTGCAGCTAAGCAGGGCCATCTTGGTCAGTCTTCTGCCTCATTTTCTCATTGTCTCTGATATTATAGAGTTTTTTCTTATTCATTCATCTTTCCTTTCATTGTTTAAGTTTAGTTTGTGTTTCATGTTAAGGATTTGTGAATACTCAACTTGGCATATGTTAGTTGGGTATCCTGTGGATAGATCTCAATTTTCTAGGAAGAAAAACTTCATGTGGATCTAAGTTTTAGAATAGAGCTAGAGGTATGAACTATGCTGGACTATAGGTTGGACAACGGGGGTAGTTGTACATATTTACCCCTAATGGATAAAGTATATATTTAATTCGTTCGGGGCAACTATATACAGGTAACCACATGGCCTAACCCCAACCTGCTCAAGAAGTGTATGATAACCTCTATTTTAACCAAATAATTCTAAGCCACTTAGAGCCCGTTTGGTTTGGTATAGAGTTATTTGGTGGAACTGATTGAATCGTGACTGAATGTGCTAAGTTTTCTGAAAGAGACTTAGCCAGTTAGGCACACATCATTTTACCAAATTTAAAAGCTCCTTAGTGCCCGTTTGGTAAGTCTTATTTGGCTGAAATGGCATGGCTCGCTAAATTCGTGAAACTTTTGACAGAATAAGCTACTTATTTTGATTGTTATGAGAAGAAGCGAATTATGCTACCTTTACAACTCCACCTCGTACTAAACTTCACTAGCGGGCCACGTGTCACGATAGTCTAACAGTTGGAACACCAGTGGGATGAATACCTTGTGAGATGCTGAATATATTTTGTAATGCCCGTCTGAAATTGCAGAAGTGTTGAAGGAACTCTTGAATGTTTTTCCCAACTTAGTGATGACAACAGACTCAACCAATTCCACTGCTCTACACACAGCAGCCGGTCAAGGGCATTTTGAAGTGCTCAGTTTGCTTCTTGAAATTGACTCAAACCTTGCTAAGATAGCCCGCAACAATGGTAAGACTGTTCTCCACACAGCAGCAAGGATGGGTCACTTGGAAGTCGTGAAGCTGCTTCTAAACAAGGACCCCAGTATTGGGTTGAGGACGGACAAGAAGGGACAAACGGCCTTGCACATGGCTGTGAAGGGTCATAATGTGGATATTGTGCTTGAATTGATCAAACCAGATCCAACTGTAATAGCTATAGAGGATAGCAAGGGAAACACTGCACTCCATATCGCAACTAGGAAGGGACGAGCTCAGGTTATTTTTATCATATTCTGAATATAATTGTTATTCTCTTTTTCTTCTTCACCTTTAGGAGTAAGTGTAATTATATACAGTTAAGGTCTACAATAAACACACGCGCACAGTGCTATTTCTGTTGGGCAGTTGTCCAGGGCCTCCAGGCCAGCATCAAATATGGCTATTAACTAAGTTCACTTGTTAGATCATCAATTTCAACGAAAATATACCCCAGAAGCTCACTTCCTCTACTTTTAAAATTATCTAATTGCTAAAATTATGTAATCATTAGAAATGGGTTTATCTTTGGTAAAATTGAGTTTTTTACATGATCTATTAGATGAAATAAATAATTGATGCCAATGAGCCCAAAAATTTGGACCGTTTAATTTTAAATCCAAAATAAAAGTGTGACTATAGGATGTCAAGCGTTCCTCACTTATATATATATATATATATATATATATATATATATATATATAAAAAATTTGGATCAAATAAAAAAAAGTCTTAACGTGTAAAATGAGAATTAATCTCAGCCGTCCAAAGTGTCGATCTGATGCACAATAACCCCTATCTGATGCACTTTCGAATAGACCTTATTTGATGCACTTTACCCTATATATATTTAGGATCAAATGAGAACAATGCTTAACATGAGAACATCATATTTACCCCGATCATGATCATCATCACCCCAGTGCCGCAAAGGCTCCCACCTACAGTAGGGTAAGGGGGGTCGGGTGTATGCAGTCTTACCCCTGTACTAATGCACAAAGAGATTGTTTCCAGACTACCCATAGTGAAAATTACATCGAGAATTGCATGGACTGACCGTTGCTTTATAACAAAGAAACGCCAATAGTTTAGTGAGACATTTTGCTTTCTTTCATCATATTACCAATCCAAAAAATTGTGAATCTTTACCCCGATGTGCTGCACAATTAGGTTCACCTATTGCATGTTTTCACGTTAAGCATACTATTTACTAAAATGCCACTGCAATTATTTATCATTGATTTTTTTGAGAAAAGTTTAAAAGTGCACGAGATGACCTTTATTATGCATAACGTCGGGTTAAATGTGATTGTTCTCACGTTCTCACGTTAAACATTGTTGTCATTGGAACCACACCCTATATATATGTATATATATATAGAGAGAGAGTGTGTTCAAATAAAAAAATACTTTAACGTGTAATATAAGAATTAATCCTAGCCATCCAAACTGTCAATCTGATTCACAATAACCATATCTAATACACTTTTCAAATAAACCTTATTTGATACACTTTTTGAAAAGTGCATCAGATAAGGTTTATTCGAAAGTGCATCAGATAAGATTATTGTGCATTAGATTGACAGTTTGGACGGCTGAGATAAAATCTTATTTTACACGTTAAGACTTTTTTATTTGATCGAACACACACACAGGCTCAAGTGAGAAATGCATCCAATGTAAGAAATGAGAATGAATCTCGGACATTGGATTGACAATGTTGTACTAAAACAGCGTCATGTTGCACTAATATTTGAATTCGACGATGTTGCACTAAACTGTTCATGTTGCCCTAAAATCACATAGCTTTGTGTTGCACTAAAAAGACGTAACACGGGATTTTCAGATGTATTTATGAAAATCCACCGCACATGGTTACATTTTTTTGTGCAACTTGAAACTCTTTAACTGCAACATAATCAGATCCAACGGCTAAGGTTCATTCTCATTTCCCACCTAAAAGCACCTTGTTACGGGAACCACACTATATATATGTGTGTGTATGTGTGTTTAAGCTGAGAGAGTTGGGCTCCGAGGCAGCCTTATGTGGCTTATTATGCTGATTAGCATAATAAGTAGCCTTTTACTTGCTTTTTTTGGTTGACATGGATGTTACCAAACATTTTTCCTTTCATAAATTCAACACACTAGCCATTTCAGCAAAAAACATCTTACTGAACAATCCCCTGAATTAAATGGTAGCAAATCAGCTGTTGATCTTCCCCAGTTGACATATTATGTCATTAGTTATATTGTTCACATGTAGCCTACAAGTCCCAGCATTTTGGGCCAGGATGAAAATCTTTGGGTCAGGGCTTCACCATAGATTAAGAGTCAAACACTGAGGCATGTTAAAAAGGAACTTCTTACCATGGCAAGTTACATCTTTCTAAAACAAAACATTGTTGTTTGCTTGCATGACAGATTGTTAAGTGCTTAATATCGATTGAAGGCATCAACATAAATGCAGTCAACAAGGCTGGAGAAACCGCTCTCGACACTGCAGAAAAATTTGGAACCCCAGATATTGTGGTGATGTTAAAAGAGGCGGGGGGCACTCGTTCCAAGGACCACCACATAAAGCCTCCTCCAAGTGCCGCAAAGCAACTCAAACAAACCGTCAGTGATATAAAGCATGACGTACAATCACAACTTCAACAGAGCCGTCAGACTGGGTTCCGTGTGAGGAAAATAGCAAAGAAGGTGAAGAAGCTCCACATTAGTGGCCTTAACAACGCCATCAACTCCCTTACACTCGTTGCTGTCCTCATTGCAACCGTTGCCTTTGCTGCAATCTTCACCGTTCCGGGGCAATACGTCGAGAAGGAGAAGAAAGGGTTTTCTCTTGGGCAGGCAAATGTGGCGAACAAGGCGGCTTTCATTGTCTTCTTCTTGTCCGACAGCCTGGCATTGTTCATCTCCGTAGCCGTTGTGGTTGTGCAAACGTCTGTGGTTGTGATTGAACAGAAGGCGAAGAGGCAGATGGTGTTCATAATAAACAAGCTCATGTGGGCGGCTTGTCTCTTCATATCGATCGCATTCATCGCACTCACATATGTGGTGGTTGGGGTTAGGGAGCAATGGCTTGCCATATATTCGACTGTTGTGGGGGGAGTGATAATGTTGACAACGATTGGGTCCATGTGCTACTGTGTGATTCGACATAGGTTGGAGGAGTCGAGGATGCGGAATATAAGGAGGACCGAAACGCTGTCACATTCCTTCTCGTTGTCCATGCCGGCAGTCGCATCGGATCCGGAGCTTTGTAATGAGAACTACAAGAGGATGTATGCTGTGTAGATGAGTCAGATTGAATTGAAAAGTATAGAAAGAACCACATGTGACCATGTGGGGTTGTTTTATTCATTCAACATGGCACCTCCAACTGGTTCATGCATAAACAGGGTGTTGGCGGGGAAAAGCTGGTCGCATGGTTAGCTGCAATGGGTAAATACCAGGTTTCTATTTGTAGTAACAAGATGGTTTGTTGGTGCTGCCATATGTTGTGATATTTTTTTAGATAAAGTCATAAAGATGTAGAACGAAAAAAAATTAGTTGATGCAATTAATAATAATATCCTATACGGCCATATGTTAAATTCTTGCCTGTTTGTAGCAACCTGAAAAATCTCAAGAGATTTGAGGATTACTTCTCTTCTATATATAAACTATATATATATATATAGAGAGACAACTATTCTCATGAGGCTGGCCTGATGAGAAGCCTGCTAAGCCAACTTCATTTTCACCAAAAAATGAACTCAATGATATAATTTTGTTTGGTCGTAACTACTATTCTCGACTATTATTTCAACTGTTAAATCATTAAAAAAAATGAATTTTACCTTAGCTTTATTCCATTTTTTATGATATAAATTAATCTTAATAGAGTTTGTAGGGTATCTTCAAACTATAAATTTTAGATGTAACGGTTCAAATAGTTAGTTAATACTCCCTCCGTCCCATTTTACCTGTCCTACTTTTCTTTTCGGGTTATCCCAAAATAAGTGTCTCCTTTCCTTTTTGGAAAGAAATATGTGGCATACACTATTTTACTTTATTATACTCAAATCTCAACCACAACTTTTACTTTTTTCAACCAGTTTATTAATAATCGTGCCAAGTCAAAGTAAGACACATAAATGGGACGGAGGTAGTACTTAATAGTAATGAGTAAAAAAGTTGGATCATTGAATTTTATTTTTTGGTAAAAAATTATGTTGACGTGACAGATTCTTTTCAAGCGGGTCTGATTAGAATAATAATTCTCTCTCTCTACATAGACATAGAGAGAGGTTAGTCCGATACCTTAAGTTGAAGAGCCCAAAACTTGGGGATTATGCTCAAAGAGAACGAAATATCGAAGAAGGAAATAAGAACATATGAATGATATGAACCCCCTTGTATCAATAATCAGCCTGTAAGAAAGACCCTAAGATCAATACAACAGCAAGTCAGCAACTAGATTACAAAAATAATCCCCCTCAACAGGGCTCACAGTTCTATCGATCTACTCTAATTCAAAAAGTCTTAGAGTTTCTTCTATCCGTGTTGCTATTATGCTGTTCAATTGTTATTACTCTGAATACAAATCTAACCCTTTCCCCAGAGGGAGTGGTATCTATACTGCAACACTTGTCCTTTGCACTGCATGTCCTCTGACAAGTCTACCTAGTGCTTCCATTGGTGTGATCCCCTAGGCCAACTGTCCTGTACTGCCTGCGCTGCAGGTGCTACTGCTGGCGTTGACATCTCCTGGACGACATGGATAGCTGGGCGAAGGCCCACTTTGAAATCTTAAGCCAGGCCCACATTCATTTTGGGCTGAGTGTGTGATCTTGTTGGTGCGCAAACAGTCACTATCCTGCTGCTGCTTGTGGGGTTGGTCTCCTCCTGGACCGTCTGGCCCTTCAGCCCGGGCACATGTGGAAATTGTTGATCCAAGTACCCAACAACCATGGGCAGAGGTAGGGGGCATACTAGCCCCAGCCCACCCCAAATTTAAAAAGTTAAAATATTAGTGTAAAAAAATCTTTGTACCGGCCCAAGCCATTTGAGCCCTTGGCTGTGCCACTGCCAACTCACATACAGAGAGAGAGTAAACAACCAATGTGGGATATACTCAACATAATGCATTCCAAAAAATATGTTCGTCTGTTGATGTCAACCATAAGAGTGTTTCCATTAACTGGAAAAAGAAACAGATTACCAGTAATCCCCACAAGAGCACAGTGCACCTTTGAAATGATGGAATCTATTTGAATCCCTGACAATAATCTCCCTACCTTCAATCTTGGATATTAGCTTAATCACCGTGTGACAGTCACCACACACTCTGAGATTCTTAACTATCTGGATGGGAATGCCAGGAGACGTGGCAATCAACCCGAAGGCAATAGCCAACCTTTCACTGTGACGTGAAAGAATTGCTGCTTTATGCTCATCTTCCACATCATGAAGTACGTAACTCGTATCTGGTTCGTATCCGGCTTCCCTTAACCGGAAGCTCAACTCTTCAAGTTTCATATATATACTATTTGACAAGGGATGGTTACCATCACCTGCTGTGAATGTGTACGTCTTGTTTTTTATCTCAATCCAACTGTACCCAGTTTCTTTCTTGACTCCTCTTTCTTCCATCATCTTTCTCACTCTATCCCTTTCTTGCCAGTTCCCACTCGCAGCATATAGATTGGAGAGCAACACATATGCTGCAGAGTCCTGAGGGTGAAGGGATATTAGCTTATCAGCTGCAAGTTTCCCCAACTCCATGTTCCGTTGGACCCGACATGCTGCTAAAATGGTACGCCACACTGTAGCGCTGGCTGGGAAGGGCATCCGGTCTATTAGAGATGTGGCTTTCTCCATCTTTCCAGCTCGGCTGTACAGATCCACCATGCATGAGTAGATTTCCATAGATGGAGGGATTTGCAGGTCTTTTACCATAAAGTCGAAATACTTCTCACCTTCACTAACTAGACCCGTATGGGTACATGCAGAAATGACACCAATAAATGTTACGACGTCCATTTCCATGTTCTTGCTCCTCATTTCTTCAAATATCTGCAACGCTTTTGGTGCATAACCATGGTGTGCATATCCGGTGATCATAGAGTTCCATGATACCAAGTCTCTTTCCTTCTGCCTTTGGAAAACCACGTTTGCGCTTTCTATACTACCTCTTTTGGCATACATGGTGACGAGGGCGCAACTCACGCATAGAGCATTATTGTATCCAAATTTAATTGAAGACCCATGAAACTGCTTTCCTTGTTCCACAGCAGATGCTGACGTGGCGCATGCGTTAATGACACTAGAGAAGGTAAACTCATTTGGGAGTACCCCTTCCTTTGCTAATTGGCTGAAAACTTTTACAGCCTTTTCGGTGTCTCCATCTTGGGCATAACCAGCTACCATTGCAGACCAAGCAACTATGTCCTTCTCATGAATTGTTTCAAACACTTTTGAAGCATCATGAATACACCCTGTCTTAACATAAGCATCTAACAATGCGGTCCCTACTGTGGGTGAGTTTTCATAATTGGTCTTGACAATCTCGCTGTGTAATTGAGAGATACAGATCACAGGATAAGCTGAAAGGATGGTTGAATAGGTGAAATGGTTCGGTTTGACATTCTCCTTTCTCATTTGACAAAAAAGATTTGCTGCTTCCTCTGCTCTGCAATTATTCCTCAGGTACCCTCCAATAATTGCTGTCCAGGAGATCACGTTCCTATTTATAGTGGAAGAAAACAATTTGAAGGCATCATCCATATCACCACACTTAGTGTAACACCCCATCAGAGCCGTTCTGATATTCTCAACTGATCCGAATTCACTCTTCATAACCCAACAATGAACTTGTCTTGCCAGATCAGATTCTTTAAGGTTCGAGCATAATTTAATAATTGCAAGGTAAGTGGCCCGAGTCTGCTTGACAGGTGAGACCCTCATCCAGTGGAACAATTCAAGAGCTTCAAAATCATGCCTGTTACTCACAAAGCCAGTAATCATGGCATTCCATGAAACTTCACTCCGAATCTCCATCTTGCCAAACACAGCCTTAGCCTCTTCAACCATCCCTGACCTCGAATATAAACTAATTAGTGAATTTCCCACAAACAACGTTGCATCAAAACCAAACTTGATAACCAATGCATGAAGTTGAAACCCCTTTTCAGGGGTGTCATCACCTGCAAAAGCACCAAAGACTGTCGCAAAGGTAAAGGAGTTGGGCTTAATCCCTTCCATTTGCATCGTTTTGAAAGCTTGTAGTGATCTATCAATCAACCCATTGCTGGAGTAACCAGCAATCAAAGTAGTCCATGTTACCACGTTCGTCCCGCCCATCTCATCAAACACTCTCTCCCCATCAATGATACTCCCCGTCTTCATGTACATGTCCATAAGTGATGTCCCTACACTGACATCCTCCAGAAACCCACTTTTCGTACAGTGGCAGTGAGCTTGTTTTCCCAAAAATTGGCTAGACAAGCAACTGCAAGATTTTAACACACAAGAAAGGCTGCACTGGTTTATCAAGCAACCAAAGCGATGGATATTGGTAAACAGATTTAGAACCTCTGCATTCATATTACTGATCGAGTACTCAAATAGCAGGGGATTTTTATCATCTTGGTCTCTTTTAGGCGTTTTATCAAACGGGTGGCGCGCATATTGAAAATGGTAGATGGCACGAGACTGAAAAAAATGATGTCTTTGGAGCTGATTCTGAATGTTCTGATTTGCCTGTTTCAGTATTCTCACATATAGTCTTCGAACCATGACTCCGTGATCGAGATACAATTATACAAAAGTTATGAAATTTAAATTCGAGACGAATGGAACGGAGAATGTGGACAGCGGGCCGGGTTGTCACAGATCCGCGGTGATTTCATCAGCAAGAAGTACGGAGTACAATAGTTCATGCAGTATCAAGGACGGAGTATCAACTGATACTTCAAGTAGTATATCAAGTTATCAACTGATGTGACATTCTACTTATGTTAATTGCAACCTTTTTCATCACTAAATTAAATTTCCTATCTTTTGGAACTAAGGATGACATGTTGTTGTTTATATGAATTTATTAATCAATTTTTTTTTTCTACAATCCAGCACTATCTATAATCTATATACACCCAGCAATACATTTTTTAATTAAAGCCTTACTTTTTATTACTACGTATTAGACATCATTTTTTGCCAAATTGATTTTGCAAATGATTATGATTTAAAAAGTCCATCATTCTTATATAAAAATAAATAAATTTGGATTTTAATTATGTTGTTGTTACTCCTGACCTATTTTTGTAAAACAAATAACTAATACATGTAAAAAAATGAACTGTGAAATCTTAATTTTAGCACTTAGATGTATTTAAGAAAACATTTGGGTTTGAGAATTTCTAATAGTTGAAATTTCAATTTTTTCTTTTTAACTATATATATATATATATATATGTGAATATTGGTGTCATATGAAAAATTATAAAAAATTATGAATTTTGATAATTGTTTTTTAAAAAAAATGGATTTTTCATAAAATGTTTGATACTTTAAAGATTATTGACATTTTTATTTTAGCCGGGGCCCCACGGTGTTTCTTCCCTCCACGCATCATCTTTCCAGCGATAGTCCCCCCTTGTCCTCTCTCTCATGGGTCAATATGGGTATCACCTTTCCTACCCATGGGTTCCCCCAATTAACTTTGGCACCATGGAATACACATTTTTGGTTGGGTTGAAGACATTTTGGGGGTGAAAACCTCACATTTTGGGTTTTCACGCCTCCCATTGCGGTTAGTCTAAGGCGACTGTACGAAGACATTTTGTGTCTATAATCCATATGTAAGGTTCAAGTAGAGGGTTAGGTTTCAGTGAAACTCTCTCCATCCATGGAATACACATTTTTGGTTGGGTTGAAGACATTTTAGGGGTGAAAACCTCACATTTTGGGTTTTCACCCCTCCTATTGTGGTTAGTCTAAGGCGACTCTACGAAGACATTTTGTGTCTATAATCCATATGTAAGGTTCAAGTAGAGGGTTAGGTTTCAATGAAACTCTCTCCATCCTTTATAACTTTCTCGTTTTTTAGTCTATTTTTTGTTGTTGAAATTTTATCAAAGACCTATAAGATAGGTTTACTATCAAAAACTTCACTAAATTGAGCGAAACTTTTCGCTGAACATACAAGAGTTTTGAAGCAATTAATGGTCATAGAGATCTCAATACTTCTGAATTTCTAATAATAGCCAAACTAGATAACTCAAGACTGCCACCTACACAAACAATCCGAAAATAAGGTAAATAGTCTATCGAAATAAAAATAAATCTCGAAATAAAACTAAAGCAAACACTAGCCACTCATTCACTTCATGGCGGCAATATGTCAGATCATCAACATTTCATCTTCTTCTTCCAAACCCAAAAGATCAAGACCAAAACAGATGACGATGTAGCCATCGCCGGTGATACCAAAAGTGGAGCGGCCGCCACTATAGCATCGTCACGGTCACATGCCTTGCTACTATGGAGAGTTTCGCTTGGTCACTGTTGCACCTTAGGTATCACTCGAGTATCCAAATCACAGAAACAAGCCTCTCCATCCCCATTTCAAAGTGTAGAGTGTTGTCGCAAATAGCATAGTAAAAGTTGACTGCACGCTAATGTGGCGGAAAAACTAATCCCTACGTAGGCATATAGCTCTGCGAGGGAGATCCCTTCAATAGCATTTTTTATTCATTGGCTTGTCTTTACTCAAATTTTATGCCTTCAATATAAGAAAATAAAATTACTTATTTTTTATGATAATTTTTTTTTACGAACAGATAAATTACTTATTTGTTTGTATATATTGAAAATACGGAGTAAACTAGTAAAAAATAAGAAATTTCCTTAGAAATGAGTAAAAACATTTGTATTATTAGATCTAAACATATAATATGAGAAGAGATTGAGCTATGAAGGAGATGATAAGTATTTGTGTATGAATGGAGAATGTGCATAGTTCTATACCTTACAAGTTATATATAAGAGTGGGCCGGATCGCTTATATCGACTCGATAGACTCAACTAAATAAAACCTTAAGATAGGTTCACTATCAAAATCTTCATTAAATCGAGCGAAACTTTTCGCTGAACATACAAGAGTTTTGAAGCAATTAACGGTCGTAGAGATCTCTCCAGCTAATACCTACTTCCTCAGCAACATCTGAGCAAAGTCCCAGCAGGTTTCCATTCTATATCGAAATGGCGGCAGTTCCTGGGCAGCTGGTGTGGGAGATTGTGAAGAAGAACAATCGTTTCTTGGTCAAGGAGTTCGGTAATGGCACCGTTGGCGTTGTCTTCTGCAGGGAACCAAACAATCTCTACAATCCTCACTCTTACAAGCACTCTGGGTTAGCAAACAAGAAAACTGTGACAATTCAAGGGGGGAAAGATCAAACTGTGCTCCTGGCCACAACCAAGACCAAGAAGCAAAAAAAAACCTGCTAATTTGCTAAACAAATCTGTCATAAAGAAGGAATTCCACCGCATGGCCAAGGCTGGCACCAACCAGGTTGCTGACAACTACTACAGACCGGACTTGAAGAAAGCAGCTTTGGCAAGGTTGAGTGCCGTTAACAGAAGCCTTAAGGTTGCCAAATCCGGCCCCAAGAAGAAGAATAGGCAGGCCTGAGCACATAAGCATTTATGTCTCTTTTTTGTCTAGACAATCTTGAGTTCTGTTTAAATTGTGCCTCTTCATTATTCTATTTAAAAAGCAATTTGATGTCTCAATTCTCTTTATCTCAAACAAAAAGCGTCCTTCTAGTTTACCCTTTGCAATGTTGGTTTATGCTTGAGTGACTTTTAAGCTTTTTTGTGATCTACACCGGAAATTGTCCGTTACAAATGTGAAAAAAAAACGGTCGTAGAGATCTCAATACTTCTGAATTTCCGATAATAGCTAAACTAGATAACTCAAGACTGCCACTTACACAAACAATCCGAAAATAAGGTAAATAGTCTATCGAAATAAAAACAAATCTTGAAATAAAACTAAAGCAAACACTAGCCACTCATTCACTTCATGGCGGCAATATGTCAGATCATCAACATTTCATCTTCTTCTTCCAAACCCAAAAGATCGAAGACCAAAACAGAAGACGATGTAGTCATAGCCGGTGATACCAAAAGTGGAGCAGCCGCCATTACAAGCATCGTCACAGTCACACGCCTTGCTACTATGGAGAGTTTCGCTTGGTCACTGTTGCACCGTAGGTATCACTCGAGTATCCAAATCACAGAAACAAGCCTCTCCATCCCCTTTTCAAAGTGTAGAGTGTTGTCGCAAATAGCAGAGTAAAAGTTGACTGCACGCTAATGTGGCGGAAAAACTAATCCCTATGTAGGCACGTAGCTCTGCGAGGGAGATCCCTTCAATAGTATTTTTTTTATTCATTGGCTTGTCTTTACTCAAATTTTATGCCTTCAATATAAAAAAAATAAAATTTGCTTATTTTGTATAATAAATTACTTAATTTTTTTTGCGAACAGATAAATTACTTATTTGTTTGTATATATTAAAAATACGGTGTAAACTAGTAAAAAATAAGAAATTTCCTTAAAAATGAGTAAAAACATTTGTATTATTAGATCTAAACGTATAATATGAGAAGAGATTGAGCTATGAAGGAGATGATAAGTATTTGTGTATGAATGGAGAATGTGCATAGTTCTATGCCTTACAAGTTATATATAAGAAAACGTGGGCCGGATCGCTTATATCGACTCGATAGACTCAACTAAATAAAAGCTTAATCTAATAGATACAAATAAATAAATATAGTGTTGAATAATATAAAAGATATTTGTTGAATCATTTAGCCACTGTCCAAGGCCCAATAGTGTAAGACCGTAGGTCTGAGTCCATATACTCTATCAGTTTGTGAATTCCAAAATATGTTTTCTATTTTTATTCCCTAAATATGAGAAGTTATTGTTATATTTTGGCATTACCACGCTTTTAATGTCACGCCCCGGACCGCGTCCGTGCCACGTAGACAACCGCCGTACAACCCAATAAGAACAACGTAGTTCATCCTTATCAAATCATACAAGGCGTCCGTTAAGTTCTATTGCCAAGCCGATTAGTAAACCCATACAATCAACATCAATATATATTAGTCAAACAGATGCGGAAAATAAGATATGTTTGATACTTAGCCACACGTGGCAAATACGGGCACGCAGGCCCCCAAATGTTTTAATAGAAAACATTGTTAAAAATATCCATGAGCAGTTCATCAATTTTGAATATGAATGGAAGCACGAACCACGTCTTCCTCCTTGATCAATCACCCTAGGCAAAGGTGCAGGTAGTAGGACTCTAGCCTCAACCTGAAAAATGTGAGGGCCCCCGAAGGGGTCAGTACTCCATTGAAGTACTAGTGACAAGCAGGCTATATGAGGAATAACTAATGTTTCAGACACGAGACCCAAAAATAGGATGATACATATATATATATAGGTGTAACCATTGTTACCCCATTCCCAAGATAATACATACTGTATATACTTGTAAAATACTTGACCCATAGGTCGTTTCCTCACAAAAAGTCTTTTAGAGATAAGGTACTTACCCAACCTTTCCCCTTTCATCCTGAATGCCTAGCTCACGAGCTACATTCTACCTTCATAATATCCTACCGAGTTTCGGGAGTGTTTACCGTCCCGGGGATGCTCAACCCCACCGAGTTTTAGGATCATTTACTGTCCCGAGGATACTCAACCTCAACCGAGTTTTAGGATTGTTTACCATCCTGAGGATACTCAACCTCACCGAGTTTCAGGATTGTTTACCGTCCTGAGGATACTCAACCTCACCGAGTTTTAGGATTGTTTACCGTCCTGAGGATACTCAACCTCACCGAGTTTTGGGATCGTTTACCGTCCCGAGGATACTCAACCTCAACCGAGTTTTAGGATTGTTTACCATCCTGAGGATACTCAACCTCACCGAGTTTTAGGATCGTTTACCGTCCCGAGGATACTCAACCTCAACCTTATTTCTAACCAAACCCTAACCTGGATATGGCTAACCTTTCATTCACTTAACTATGGACAATACCTAGTCCTATAGTCATATAATAATCCCTAGTAACCAACGTGGGCGGGTCCCACTTGAACGACCCACGTTAACCTGCTCAAAACTGCCTGTTTTGGGTCTAGTCCAATACCCGGTCGGGTATCCAACCTCACCCGGTCGGGTAGGTCGGGGCAGAAGCCCCTGGAACTGATTTTACTTGAGACCCGGTCGGGTCCATACCCTTACCCGGTCGGGTCTAGTAAGACAGTGGCTTCTGGAGCCATTTTTAATCAATACCTGGTCGGGTATGTACCCATACCCGGTCGGGTATCACCTTTGCCTCGGCGGTCAACGCCCGTTTGACCGTCCAAACGGAGTCCGATTAACGCGAAATTTTATACGCATGTACTCCTTGACGTCCTTGATCCAAAAATACCATTTTGGATCCCTAGAGAATTGTACATAATAAGTTATCACATTTTTAATCACCAAACATACAAAACATGCTTTTCAACTATGTTTTATATATAACCGTGGCATAAGCCAATACTTGATTTACTTTAATCATTCCATAAACATATACTTGATTACTTTAGGTAATCTCATGCCTCAATCAAAAGTTATAAAGCATATAGCCGTCTTCTCACCTTAAAAGAAGCTTATGAAGTTCTAGCCTTTCCTTATTGAGCTCCGGTGGAACTCCGGTGAACTTCAGCCAACTCCCGCGACAACTCCGGCAACCCTTTCAACTCCGTGAAAGTTCTTGAAGCACCTTATACAAGTTAACAACAAGGTTTTATCATCATAAAACCCATATCAACACAAATAACCTCTAAAAGGTTATTTTCCGACGAACCGGTCAACTTTGTTCTCAAAGTTCGTTTTGGATATGAATCAACCTTCCAACCCTTCATTCTTCACATATAACATGTAGAATGGTCCTAGGGGTATGAAATATGATTACATAATCATATTTGGAAGATTAAAGAAGAGGGATGAGATTAATGGGGTTATTACCTTGATAATCCTCAAGTTTTCCTCCTTCTTTCTCTCCTCTTTCCCCTCCTTCTTCTCCTTAAGCTTTGGTTCGAATATGGTGGATGAAAATGGAGTTTTGCAGAGTTTCTCTCCCCCTGGAAAATGGTATGGCCGAGCTGGTGTGGGTTGGAGTGATTGAGAATGCCTTTTTGGCATTTCTCACAATGATATTTTGGCCAAGGTCCCACCCTCTTATTGATTGGTCTCCCAATCAATTTTCTTCTTGATCCTCCATGTCCTTGTGCGGCTCCTCTTGCCATATGCAAGACTAAAAACGTGGGTTGGCCCCCACTTATGTGGGAGGTCATCCCTTTAAGTCTCTAAGTGTACACTCGGTCCCGAAAGTTGTATTTTCCGGACTGTTTTAACTGTATTTCATTTTATCGGGTAAAATGAAATATCTATCATTCTTCCAATTATTATTGGCTATAAGAATGAATTTAGATCCCCCAACTTTTAATTTAGCGGTCTCCATAATCTATTATGGCTTTCATCTGTCAGTACCCCCGGTACCGATAAATGGGCTTTATATGCACAACTGGCCAACACGCATGGTTTATATGGCCCAACCTGGACATCCACCATCATATACATATTATCTAGACCCAGATGAATATAATATGCGACCCCAATAATATCGGGCGGCCCCCACCTCTGGTGTGGGCCCCACGTGGATTTTACTATCCACGTAAAGGAATGATAAAAATTTACAATCGCGTAAAGATAGTTTATTCATTTCTCAAGGTTCAGTACATGAATTGATAAAGTACAACTACTTGGGGGCGGTGTTACAAGTTCTACCCCCCTTATTTGGGATTTCGTCCCCGAAATCCACGTGTCTAGTCAAACAGAAATGGATACTGTTCCCTCATCAGGGTCTCCACTTCCCAAGTTTGCTCCTCGACACGATCACTCTTCCAAAGTACCTTCACCATCGGTACCTCTTTACTCCTTAGCTTCTTTACCTGTCGGTCCATGATCTTTACCGGCTGCACCGCATAGTGAAGGTCTTCCCGGATTTCTACCGGTGGTTTCTCAAGAATATGTGACGGGTCCCGTACGTACTTCTTGAGCATAGAAACATGAAATACGTTATGGATCTTTTCTAACTCTGGAGTCAATTGAAGTCGGTACGCTACAACCCCAATCCTTTCAATGATTTTGAATGGGCCGATGTAACGTGGGTTAAGTTTACCCCGACTGAGGAACTTGATGATCCCTTTCCAAGGTGACACCCTCAGAAACACCTCATCACCGACCTCAAACTCCAACGTCCTCCGACGTTTATCTGCGTAGCTCTTCTGTCGATCTTGGGCAGCCTTGAGCCTATCCTGAATGACTTTCACCTTCTCCTTGGTGATCTCAACTAGCTCAGTACCCTCAAGCTTGGCCTCGCCAACCTCATCCCAACACAAAGGTGTCCGACATTTCCTCCCATACAATGCCTCGTATGGAGGCATGCCTATACTTGCCTGATAACTGTTGTTATAGGCGAATTCCACCAATGCCAACTGGTTGTCCCAACTTCCTTGGAACTCCAAGGCACATGCCCTCAACATGTCCTCCAAAATCTGAATCACCCGTTCCGATTGCCCATCCGTTTGAGGATGGAATGCCGTGCTGAACCTCAACTTTGTCCCCATGGATTCCTGGAACTTAGGCCAAAACCGTGATGTGAACCGTGGGTCTCTATCCGACACTATTGTGACTGGAACCCCATGCAGCCTCACGATCTCATCAGTATATG